AGACCCTGCTTATGTAAGAGTTCCGGCCGTAAACACAGTAGGGGCATGGCCCCAGTACACGGGGAACATGGGGATGTGGCAGCCCGGACAATTGTTTCATAGCTGTCCCCATTGCAGGCACCTCATTCCGGTGGTTCGCATGTATCTATAACCAAGAGACTGATGAATTCAAGCTATATGGACTCTGGTCTAGAACAATCAGTGGATTGAGACTGATGAATTCAAGCTATATGGACTCTGGTCTAGAACAATCAGTGAATTGTTGGAGCTAATCATAGTTAGCCGTGAAGTCTGAAGTTAGCTAGAAAGGGACAGTTGTAAATGCATGATATGAGTACGAGGAATACGTCAAGCAGTAATCAACTGTGTGAGGTCGAGATGACTTCTAGAGCAAAGAAACAGCTGTGCAGTAAGAAAGGTCATCATGACCTCTAAGTGACAAAAAGTAATGAGAGTCGTAAGGAGAGATAAACTAGCTGAGTTTATAGACTTAGGAGTTAAGTAGTAACAATAAGGAGTTTATCTCAAGTTAATTCAAGATGTTATAAGTGCCAAATAAGAGATAAAAGGAAAGGACTAACACGATGTAGGGTAGATGCTAATGTTTATTATTATTTATACTCCTAGTTACATTGTTATTCCCTAAGTTTAACATTTCAGGATACCTGTAGCTGGAGGAAATGAGTTACCTTATAGTATCGAGTTCCCAGTTTAACAGTTCTATGTGTTATTTACAACAGTTCAATAGTTATAGTCAAATGTCGGGACGACATCTCAGCCAGGGGGGGCGTGTGTTGCCATGTAGAAATAACCCCCTTTAGGATAATGGTTTGATCCGATGTACGCATGCGTACTGCGCAGTTGGTTTGAGAGAACAAAGAATACACTCAGTCGTCTCTATGCTCTGGCTTCGCTGGTCGTAATTGCGTTGTCATCTGGAACAGGAACTGTGATCTGGAACGAGGATTGGTAGGGTAACACCAGCACTGATCATGAGTTTAGCGAGCCGGCCCTGTGCCTCCCATACTACGTAAAACGGCTGTCGGGCGACTATGATGAGGAGAAAACATACTCCTACTTCGACTTTGAATGGGTAAGCGAAGTCCCTTACCACCATATTACCCCAACTGCAGACAGAAATTGCTTCCTCAAACGACTAGGCACATCTTAGTCCACACTGTCTTGGCCGCGGAGACGAACTTGTCCACAGACCCAGGATACAGAACCCAAGACATAACAGTAGTATTCAAGCAACCATGGCATTAATTTTCTTTGAAGAACCTTGTGTTTAGTAAAGGATTGTTGCATGTTGCCAGTAATACTTGTGTTAGTGTACAGGTCTTTCTCAACATATATGGCATTGTATATTTAATATCATATTTCCTATGCACCATTCATTAAGTGCTGTCCACATATAGAGAGATATGGGAATAAGAAAAATATCAAAATGGTGCTTGTTTTGTTTTCTTTATAGTATATACATGTATGTAACAGTACATTATCAGTGTCCAGGGAAATAGTAATTGAAAGGTTATCTGAGTTGGTAAGTTACATATTTTATTTAAAAAAAAACTGTTCTCCAACTCAAGAAATTTGAGTTTTCAACTATATCTGTCTTCATCAACTATCTGAGCCAAGTGCTGTGGCATTATATTTTCTACATCACTTTGATTGCAGAGCTGTTTGTGTGTTAACACAGTAAGTTTATGTTTAACGGTGCTTGTATGTTTTCTATCACAGTGTGAATGTTTACAGTAATCTAGTAATCGCCATCGTACAACCTATGCTGTCTTGCAAATATTATTTAGTATTTAGACAATAAACCGGATAGTGAATGTGAGTGAGTATGTAGTACTGTCGATGCAGTTAA